GGCACCGTACGGCTCCTCGGTGAGCGACGATAGGCAAGCCCACCCGCACGCTTGCATCCGGCACAGTATAGGCAGGCGTGCGGGTGGGCTTGCCTATCGTCGCTCACCGAGGAGCCGTACGGCGCCGTGCGAGTATGCTGCCCATCTGCATGACTGCACACGGTACAGTGTAACCAAAAGAGAGAACGGGGATGGTCGACCACAGTTTACTGAACTTAATCTTACATGCAGCACTTGAGACATTTCAGGCTTGTCTAAAACCAGATTTTTCAGTGCATTAGCTCTATTTCTTCTTAACTTCTTTTGACCAGCCGCATTAATTTGCTTCTTTTTAAAGTCCTTTTTAGCCTGAGCAAGTTCGTCTTCTAGTTGCTTCACTTGTCTAGCCGTGCCCTCAAGTGCAAGCCCTGAGTTACGAAGCTGGTTGAATTTGCTCTAAATCACTAATTGGCTGAGCGATGAGCAAAGCCTATTACTCCAGTGCTGATCAAAAAGTTTCGCGTCTGTCTGTGTGTGTGTGTATCTGTTTGTCTGTCGTCACGATAACTCGAGAACGAATTGAGCTAGCGACCTGGGATTTTCAGGGTCGTTTTGTGTCATAAAAAGACAGATCGAGTTCAAAGATGAGCATTCTAGCTCAAAAATTGGATTTTTAAAAAATCAAAAACAACAGGTCCTAAAAATGACGTCTTTTAAAAATATTTTTTTTACAGTTCGCTAAGAGGTAACTCATCAAAGTAGAGCCCTCTGGGCAGAAATTTTGTCCGTTTGGCTCTATCCTTAACCATTTAGGCGCCACAGGGAGTTTTTTGACGAAAATAAGCGAAAAAAATGTACAACCCTGAATTTTTAGTCGAAATGACGGAAAGTTGACGGGCCGAAGGCCCGTATCTTTGTGTACATTTTTGTGCTTCCCGACTAGGGTGTCAGCGCCGCAGGCCTAGGTAGATGTATGCCAGACGCGTCGCAGCGTAACAGTGTTTCGTGAGATATCGCGAAGCCTGTTACGCGAGACGTGGTCTGGCGTACATCTACCTAGTTTGAAGCTTGTCTTGAGCAGGAGTCTGATAAACTTGCGGCGGGTCATTCCCAGGATCATCCGGATCCTCGTCATCGCTACTAATAATAAAGCGGCGTT